CAAATGAGACTAATCTTTGTTGTCTTTGTTATTTACAGGAGTCCAGTTACTTGCTCTTTTAGTGCCCACTTTGATCTCTTACCTGCTGGATGAGAATTCTTTTGCTTCAGCAAGTTCAGCCTCCAAAGATCTTCATGAGTTTGCACTCCAGAATTTAATGCATATTGGACCTTTGTATCCACATGCTTTCAAGGCAGTAATGGGGGCTGCTCCAGAGTTGAAAGTACGCCTGGAAACTGCTGTTCGAGCAAGCCAAGCAAGCAAAGCTAAAGCGGCTGCCAGGCAGCCAGCCCCTACCATACATTCTACACCAACAATTAAGCTAAAAACAAGTTTTTTTTAATGTGTTCTGTTCTTTTTTAGTTATATTTTAATCTTGTTAGTGATAGCCACTAATGATTCCAAGCTATAAATTGTTTTATTTGTATATTGGTATTCTGTTGCTTCCAAAGAGGTTAAGTGAAATAATGTTCACACCACTGACTGGTTTCTAAGGAGTGCTAGTTTAAAATTCACGTGAATATATTTTCATTGTTCTCGCAAGTATGTTTCTCTTTAATTAACTTTTTGTTGTTGTTATTACTGTTTTGGTGATCCTGGATTGAATCCAGGGTGTTGTGCATGCTAAGCATGTGCTCTAACTACTGAACTATACCCCTAGGCCATAATGTGTTTTTTTTTTTTTTTTCTGGCTCAGAATGCCTTCAGGGCAGGTTTGGCTGGCTGGAGTTCTGGGGATTGAACCACAGCAACTTGATCCTGACTGCTTTGTTGAAGCAGGCACTTAAATAACTGAGCTAAGGGGCAGGCCAAACACTGAGCCATAGTCTTAAATTTAAATGCTAAATACAGGGGCCCGGGAGATGGCTCAGTAGAATAAGCACTTTTCTGGCAAGTGCAGCGTCCTGAGTTCAATCCCTGGTACCACAAAATAAATAAATGAATAAATAAAAGTAACATAAAATAGGGGCTGGTGAGATGGCTCAGTGGTCTAAAGCACCTACTTTAGAACAAGCTAAGCTGAGCAAAGCACAGGGACCACGGTTCAATCCCCCAACACCATGGTGGGCTGAGCTGGCCACACACACACAAAAAAAATAAAGAACTAAAAAAAAAGGTAAAATAAAATTAAAAAAAATAAATGCTAAATACATAATTGTACCATGTAGTAAGAAGCCTATCCATATTATCAGGGGAAAAATAGATAAAAATTCAATATTTGTCATGAAAAAATTTGAATTAGAAAACAAGCAGGTTTTCAACTTTTACATAACCAGAATAATAGAAAATCTGTTTTATGATGTATATACTATGAATAAAATCACATTTTTCTAGAGCTGGGGAGATAGCTCAGTAACTTAAGCACCTGCCTGGCAATCACAAGGTCCTGAGTTTGATCCCTAGTACCACAAAGAAAAAAGATCACATTTTTTTAAGCACTTCCCTGAATATTCTTTCTGGTGGATCTTTTTATTTTCTTATTAAATTACTAAAGTTTGTTTATGTATAACTTAGTTATTAACATAATTAAAATTGTCATTTAAAGATCCATTAAAGCATTTCACATGTGAAATAATGTTCTTTTTACTGATGACTAAAATTTGTCATAAGTTTCATTTTGTAATTACAGAGCTTCAGATACTTCATATGCTGGTTACTTTCATTAAATATTTATTGAATACCTACTGTGTATAGCATCAAGCTAAGTGCCTCAGGGCATACAAAAATAAATTAGTCATAATTATAGTTACACTGGTCTCTCATGTAATGGGAATTTTACCATGCAAAATAGATAATTGAGGGCCAGGGAGATAGTTCAGTAGAATAAGCGCGGGGGCCTGAGTTCAATCCCCGGTTCCACACCAAAAAAAAAAAAAAAAAGGTTAATTGATGAAATGAATGCTTGCCATAGCATTGAGCAAATTTCAAACACCGAGTTTTACCAGATAATGTAATATTGAGCATATTAAAATCTAGTGACTTTTCTGACCATTTCAAAATATAAAGCTGGGTGTGGAGGTGTATACCTCTAATCTCAGCACTTGGAAATCATGAGTTTGAGCCTACCCTGGGCAATAGCAACTTAGCAAGACCTGTTTCAAAATAAAATGAATAAAATTAAAAAGGGCTGGACTAAGGGTTCGGGGAGATGGCTCAGTGGAAAAAGCGCTTCCCTGGCAAGCTCAAGGGCCTGAGTTCAATCCCCGGTTCCGCCAAAAAAAAAAAAACCCAAAAACCAAAACAAACCCCCAAACAAACAAAAAAGGGCTGGACTAGGCAGCCACAGTGGTCAGAGTTCCATCCCTGGTATGCTGTGTTGGCCCCGCCCCTGGGGTACACTGAGAGGGCAACTGAGACTGGGCATGGTGGCACGCACCTGTAATCCCAGCTCCTGGGAGGCTGAACACAGGTGGATCACTACGAGTCCAACCTGTGTAGTGAGATCCTGTAGACCCTGTACTAAAATACAAAAAGCGGGGCGGGGCTGGAGATGTAGTTCATTGTACAGACCCTGAGTTTCATCCCCAGTACCATCGTAATATATAGCCTGCTCTTTATTGTCTCTCATACTCACACCAATTGGTAGTTCACACATCCTTGTCCTTCCTCAGTCCTTTAGATACCTTAGAAAGGCTGTTTCTCTCATGTGTTTTCTCACTGATTTCAAAGTTTTTCTTTTTTTTGTTTTTATTTTCGGCAGAAGTTTGTTCACATATTTAAAGTCACAATTCACACAGTTAAAAGTATCCAATTCAGTGTTTATTCCCGAGGTAGTACAACCATCACCATGGTCAATTTTAAACCTTTTCATTACTTCAGATATAAACTCCATATTCCTTAGCTGTCCTGTTCACAATCTCCATATTTTCTCCCCAGCTTTTCACTATAGGTTTTCCTACTATGGACATTTCATATAATATGTAGTCTCTTTTGCCTGGCTTCTTGACTTCATGCTGTATCAGTACAACTTTGTGTTTTTATGGTTGAATAATATTCCATTGCATGCATACCACATTTTATTTATCCATTCATCAACTAAAAGACATTTGAGTTTCTACTTTTTCACTATTAGGAATAATGAGACTCTGAATAATAATAAGTTTTTCTGTGAATGTAATGTTTAAAATCTCAGTATATACCTAGGAAGTAGAACTGACTGAAATAGTGATTGTATTTTTTGCACACATGTATGTAAGTACATAACTCCTTTCCACCTATTCATACAGTACTTATTTCTCCTTGGTTATTTTTTGCTGTTCTTAGTACCCCCTACGCTTTTTTCATTCTTCTTTTTGTCAGGGTAGACTACATCATACATTAACAATGTTTCTCTTTCCCTCTACCCTTTCTGTCTTCTGTTGTCTCTCCTTTTTTCCCTTTTCTGTTAGTTCATCTTTATACTTTCTCTAAACTCTTCTGTTTTTTTTTTTTTAACAGTACCGGGGATTGAACTCAGGGCCCTGCGCTTTCCAGGCAAGTGCTTATTCTACTGAACTATCTCCCCAGCTTTCTAAGCTCTTCTAAACCACTGATAATTTACCTCCTCGTTTTCTGTGGTGATGTCTACAAAAGGAAAATCTTTTAATATTTATATATATTTTTTTTACTTTTAATTGCCTACCAGTGAGATTCTTTTTTTTTTTTTGGCGGAACCGGGGATTGAACTCAGGTCCTTGCGCTTGCCAGGGAAGCGCTTATTCCACTGAGCCATCTACCCGGCCCCTTTTTTTTTTTTTTTTTTTTTTCTTTTCAACCTGAATATTCACTTATTTGATTGTGAACATGAAGCTGATAGAAAAACATTATAGCCAGTAGATGAGGAAGCATAATCTGAGTGATTTTAATAAGGTAATAAATAACATCTGCTCTCTGCTTCACAAATTCTCAGATATTAATATTATACATTTGAATTTTCAATTTGACTAGGGAATAAACTCCAAAGTTAGACGATCCTGTTGAATAGGTTCTACCGTTATTGAGGGATAAAACTTTGGGCCCTCTAACCTCTTGTGGCTTTAGTTTTCTTTTTTTTTTTTTCATAATTTTATTGATAAATAGCAATGAGACAGTTTCAAATCAAATTGGTAGGACAGTTTCAATAATTAACACATTGCATACTTTCCTCCCAGTGGTTAATTGCTGTACAAGATGTAGACATGATATCCTATCTACAAACACCATTAGAACAAATCACTCTATCTATTAAGAGAATGTAACTATATATCTATTCTAACCACTTTGAATACACAGATACAAAATTGACATTCATCTGTCTACCCTTTTTTTGTTAAGTTCTGTTATTTGAATATTATAGGTGTGTAAACTCAGCAAAATAATCTAAAAGAGTTCAGTAGTCCATTATAGTATTGGGTCTTCCACTTCACTGGCAATGTCCTGCCAGGGATGGGTAGTTCTGTCTCCACCTTCTAAGATCTAGGTCTCTCTCTCCCTTCCTCCTTTCTTCCCTCCCTCCCCCCCCCCTCTGTCTCTCTCTCATACACTCTCTCTGTCTCCTTTCCTCCCTCCCTCCATCCCTCCCCCCCATATGAAAAAGTCTTTGGACGTTCTTGTGGCTTTAGTTTTCTTGTGTGCTATTTTGCTTTGTTTTTTGAGATAGGGTCTCAGTAGTCCAGGGCTTCCAACTGGGAGTGATCCTCCTATCTCAGCCTCCCAAATGCTAACACTATAAGCATGCGCCACCACACCTGGCCTTAAGTTTTCTTATCTGAAAGGAAAATTTAATAAGTATTCTCTCAGTGATCTTTTGCCTAATTAAAAAGATACATCAGTATATGTATGTCCACTTTTACACAGTGAATGATAAGAGAGTGAATCTTTGGGCAATCCATTTAAGTCGGCATATTAGTCAATCTGATAGTCTTTATGTGTATGAAATTACCATCATAATATGGAAGTATAAAATATATTAAATGTATAATGCAGACACAGAAGTTAAAATATTATATTTCATTACTGTCACTAAGAACTGTTATTCTGTTGTCTGCCAGGTACTGAATTAGATGTTACACTTGATACCCAATATTTCTTTTTATTCAAACAGAGTCAATACTGGATATACCTAGTCTGATTTTCAAAATATTTACTCAAATGGATTACTATTCACATTTTTTAAAATCTTCATTGGAATTTTTAGACTGATACTAGAAATGGGTAGAATATGTTTATAAAAAAAAGTTCCTTGCTGGGCATCATGAAATACCTCTATAAACCCAGCACTTGGAGGCTGAGGCAGGAAGATTCTTGCCAGTTGGAGGCCAGCCTGGGCTACATAGTGAGTTTAAGGCATGAACTGCATAGTAAGACCCTGACTTCAAAATACATACATTTTTTAAAAAAATACATAAAATTATTGCCCTAGTATTTTTCATCAATTTGCTTCCTTTTATTTTATTGTTTTATTTTTTGGCAGAACTGGGGATTGAACTCAGACCCTTGCGCTTGCCAGGGAAGCGCTTATTCCACTGAGCCATCTCCCCGGCCCCAATTTGCTTATTTTTATTTTTTTTATTATTTATTTATTTGCAGAACTGGGGATTGAACTCAAGTCCTTGTGCTTGCCAGGGAAGCGCCTATTCCACTGAGCCATCTCCCCGGCCCCATGCTTACTTTTAAATCTTAATCATTATAAGCCTATTTCTAGTTCTTACCCATCTGAAAGCTTTTAACTTATGGACTTTGGAATTTTACTTTAATAAGAATTTCATGTTAACCATAACTTAGAATTACTCTAAGTTGTTTTGATGCTGTCACTAAAATATGTCAGGAAAAACATAAGTAAATGAAAATCATGCCTTTTACCATTTTATTTGTCTAAGTAACCAGTTATAACTATCTTTTTTTTTTTTTTTTTTTTTTTTTTTTACAAAATGTATTAATCTGTTGCCCGCCACAATTCCTTTTTCTTTTTCTTTTTCTGTTTTTAATTTTTGGTCACTTGAACTTGTGAGTTTCCACATTAAGCACCATTATTCTTATACACG